TATTCTATTACTGCATCTTGCTAATTCGGCCATTCTGGATGTCACTAACTCGGCTTCTTCTCCGGAGCCTTTGTGCTCCACTGTCTCTCAGATTAACTCATATCACAGCGGTGCCTGGACAGCGTGACGTGTGTGGTTGTGCTGCTGCCGTGGTCCTGCCAGATGCCTCTTGCTGCTGCTGCCATCATTAGTCATACTTCTACTGTTATTATACACATATGACTATTGTCACACATGTATACTGCCAGATATTAATACATACTTTCAACATATTATAACACAGTAGCCAGAACTATAACTATAATATTATTACTTTCAATAATGTTGTTATAAGCTACTGTCATTACCTGCATCTCTCTCTCTCTCTCTCTCTCTCTCTCTCTCATTCTATTGCACATCTGTCCGTCCTGGAAGAGGGATCCCTCCTCAGTTGCTCTTCCTGAGGTTTCTACCGTTTTTTTCCCCGTTAAAGGGGTTTTTTTTGGGGAGTTTTTCCTTATCCGCTGCGAGGGTCATAAGGACAGAGGGATGTCGTATGCTGTAAAGCCCTGTGAGGCAAATTGTGATTTGTGATATTGGGCTTTATAAATAAAATTGATTGATTGATTGATTGATTAAAGATCAGTCAGATATAGTCAGGGCTTCACATCTGTACAGATGTTATTTTACGAATCCTCACATCCCACTGACCACGAGTCTTTTTGATGCTAAATACTTCAATAATTAAAATAGCCCATTGTTAATATACAGTAGACTACATATAGTTTGTGATACAGTTAAAATGGCCAAAAATGTGAATAACTGCATTGCAAGATGATTTAAGGTGTGTCCCAACATTTTCTGCTTGTGCTCCTAAAATTCTCAGTTAGGGACTACAGTGCTCTACTAAAAAAAAGTTAGTCTGGAGCCTAAGTTGATTTAGTTGTGTTCACAAATTCAGATTAAGATATTAAAAGAAACTCAAAACATTAAGGAGCTGCCTGATCAGTGTTTTAAGATTTAATTACGATGTGTGCTTAATGACGTTATACCTGTGCAGTACACTGTTTTGGCTATGGTTGCCATAATGATGCTGGTTAAGCCGGTTCCCGCTCCCAGCTCCAGGACTGTGGCTCCTCTGAATATGTGTGGTTTAGAGACGATAAAGTCAGCCAAGAAGAATGCCCCTCGCCACACCTGATGTGAACAGAAAGACGTTATGCGTTAATGTCTTCTTTACATTAACCACTACTTGAAAAATTCATGGCACAGTTCAGTATTAACATTTATGTTTTTAGCATCAACATGATTTATATTTACACATTTTGAAAATATATCTATTCAAATTCATTTAAATGAATCAGCTTAACCTCATTCCCAATACACATAACAGTGGAACCAATGAAGGGCAAACCCAAAAATGCCGAACCATCATGTAAAGTGAGCCAGAATTGTTTGGTCAACGGTATCAAAAACGTGAGAAGAATTAAGATTAAGAATTAAGTGCATTTACCTGCACCTGCAACACAGTGAAGGTTTTTTGTCACTCTAAGGAGTGTCACTGACCCTGATTACACTTGGTTTTAAGATGCACTTCATTAATCCAAACACATACTGACAATCACACTTGTATCTGTCAGGAGTCTCCAGCTGACCACTTGTGATGAGGTTTTGTTACTCCCAACTTCACTTATGCTAGAAAGTCAAAGAGCCCTTCACACAGTTATTGCACCCACACTCTTGCCAGTCATGTAAGTGGTTGTGTCAATACAGTTGGAGATATTGTGGTTAGCAGACAACGTCTACTTCCATAGGACAAAACCACGGATGGTCACACAACACTTAGTCCAACTCATTGTAAATTGGCCGAGATATAGAGCATTAGTGTGCTGTCACCAAATGCATTCATAATGTAGTCCTTGTCAGGGGCGCAGATGGGATTTTTGAACTGGGGGGACCAAGCTGTCAGCAAATGATTCCAACTCAATTAGTTATTTTGTGTAAATACATACATACATATATATATATATACACTGAAGCTGCAATAAACATTAGAATCGTGAGTCTTCTGACTGAATGAACATTGGTAAACAAAGGCCTACCTGATCAACACTAGCCATACATGATCAAACTGTTGTTTGTCTGGTATGTCAATCACGCACCAAAACTTCATGCCTTCTGCATATGTTTTATTTAAACATTTGCTGATCTCAGCAGGATGAAGAATCTCAGCACAGAAACTTTAACTCTATTCTGAGAAAAAAGCAAAGAACCTATGTGCGAAAAATTAATAATAAAATAAAATGATGAAATGATTCACACTCATGCCTTCATGTAAATGATTATAAACATAACAATGTGTATGAAAACGGAAGTATAAACACTTAAACAACAGATTCACATAAATAAAAATAAGTAAAGACTACATAGCATGAAATATGAAATGAAATTTCAGTTAACAGTTGCTGCTTACTAAAATAACATTATACATAAAAATAATAACATTAAAGATATTCACCTACAGCCTAGAATGCTGTTATTTTACATTTAGCCTACTTCAGGTAAGTCCAAATGCCTTCTTATTATTGTCAGACTAGCTACTCAACATTACAAAACAAATATTTGCCACATCTGGGAAAGTCAACAGGCAACAGGCATAGGATATTTACATCTTTTGGTTCTTGAAAAAAAAAATGCTGTGATTATTTTTCTTTCTTCTCTGGCTTCATGTGGCAGAAAAATCACCAGCTCAGTCATTAGACAGTTGTATATGATCACTATGGTTACCGCTACAGGCACAGGCACAGCTACCAGCTCCTCTTAGGACCGCGGGGTCGAGAATCGTGCCTTATGATGCGTTACATTTACATTGGAAGTCGGAACTTGGAGCTCTGAACAACGTAACCTCCGAACTGAGCGCTTCCCAGTTTAAAAACTGGGAAATGGAACATGTAATTCGGAAAAAAAATGGACAGTTAATGAAATGAAAGGAAAACCCCAACGTTTATGCTTGTAGATGCTAGATTTCAATGCTTTTCCGACTTCAAAACTCCGACTTACGAGTACAATTGAATGCACCATTAGTTGTAGCACAAAGACCGGGCTATCAATGGATCAGCTGTGCAGTGTTATTAACTGAGAATTACGTGGTAAATTGAACACCTTGCTTTCCCAACTCAGCAAGGATCTGCTCCAGCCTTTCCCCTTCTTGAATAGGTGTAATGTGGATTGATCACTGACAAGGCTACTGCCGCTGCCATTTCAACTTTGTGCTGCAATGTAAGTTAGCCTAACTAACGGAACACTGATCCTCTTTTTTACCTATGTGTGGGGGTGACAGTGGGGGGACGGATCGGGGTCACTATAAATCTGGGGGGGACATGTCACCCCCGTCCCCAGTGCCATCTGCACGCATGGTCCTTGTCGGGGATGCATCAGGGGCTATATTCACAAACATACTCTCAGCAAGCTCCTAACTTGGCCTTTAAATGTTTAGTAAGGAATCTTAGTTTAGGAGTGATTTAGGAACGTTCTCAGAGAAACTCTGAGCAAGGACTGGACAGAAACTTTTACCTTAGTGGGGTGTGATTGACCCCGTTGCTAGGTATGATGCATTCTTTTAACTGATGTGATTGGTTGTCCCTGACACACCCTTTTGTGAGCCAGTAAGGTGTGGACACCCAGTGGAAATGAAATGAACTGCTGACTGTGAGAGTGTTCTCACTGTTGGTGTGATCATTCTGCTGATGGAAGGTTTAGACAGAACAAAGTCATCACTGCTGCACTTTTCCAGTTTTTCAAATATCTTAGTAATGTGATCATTTTATGTCTGGTATTATAGCTTTTTCATGTTGGGCATGAAATATGTGCATTACCCTAACAAGATTGACCACAAATACTATCCCTGCATGATCTAATCTGTAGCATTTCATTTACTCACTGCCATCCAGCATTTGGAGAATATTCCCTGCCCTTTTTGTGTTTCCATCATTTTCTCCTCTGCTTAAGAAACTGTTAAGCCTCTCAAAAGTCCTCCTCCCTACTCCTTTTTTCACTTTTTCACTTTAGGAGCTCTTTTAAAGTCTACGATGCTTCTTGAATAACTTATCTTTACAAGGACCTTGCTTTAACTTTAATGGGAAATTCTCAGAAAATGTTGCTAGGAGCAACTCTAAGCACGAGGAAGCTTTGTGAGTACAGCCCAAGGAATGTTAAGTGCTTGCGCTATATAAGATACATGGTTGGCAGTTGGTTTGATCAAATCACAGTGCCTCTTGGTGGTGGTTCACGCTTGTATGTAGCACTGTCCACTTGTGATCCAGTTGCCCAAGAGACATTAAAAAAAGGTGTAAAACAGTGAAATTTCTCTAACATACTGGACAGAATCTGATTTAAAAAAACAAAAAAACAAAAACCTTAGATTAGACAAAAACTTCAAAAATTGGCCTAAAATTACTGGGAATAGCTGGGTCAAGATCAGGGCACGTATTCACAAAGCTTCCTAGAACAAAGAGTTGCTCTTAGTGATATTTGGGGCAGCAGTAGCTCAGTCCATAGGGACTTGGGTTGGTAACCGGAGGGTCACCTGTTCAAGTCCCCGTCCGGACCAAAATATGGAGAGCGCCCAGAGTGCCTGTCATGGGCAGCCCCACCTTGACATCTCTCCACTTAGTGCATGTACAGGTCCTGTTTGTGCATGTGTTCGGACCTGTGTGAAATTGACAACAGAGTGAAAAAACTGAATTTCCCCTCAGGGATTAATAAAATAAAAAATTATTTTAAGAAAATTCTTAGAATTAGAACATCTTTCTAAGAATTCCCCCTTACAGTTAGGACTATTTCCTGGATAAGATAAAAGTTATTCTTAGCCTTCAAGCCTGTCTGTCTCATTTATACTCAATGTTAAATACGTATACGGACACGAATGGAGCCTTCTGTACGTACAGTACAGTACAGGCCAAAAGTTTGGACACACCTTCTCATTCAATGCGTTTTCTTTATTTTCATGACTATTTACATTGTAGATTCTCACTGAAGGCATCAAAACTATGAATGAACACATGTGGAGTTATGTACTTAACAAAAAAAGGTGAAATAACTGAAAACATGTTTTATATTCTAGTTTCTTCAAAATAGCCACCCTTTGCTCTGATTACTGCTTTGCACACTCTTGGCATTCTCTCCATGAGCTTCAAGAGGTAGTCACCTGAAATGGTTT